GGAGCAAAAATGGACAGGAAATGTGGTGGTAATGACACCAACCCCGAAAGGCAATCCCGTGTGGATGAGACAGCTCAGACCGGGCAGCGTGTGTCTGGAGCTTCCTTAGGACCTGGATAAGCTGCTCCTTGATGCATCCTTGCCGTGCAGGCGGGACCCGTTCAGCCACGGCTGGCAGCGGTCCGGACCCCACCGGTGAACAGGGAGACAGGACCCTGCCCCAGGAGAGGGTCCCGGCGTACGGTTACCACAAGCACCCGAGACCCTCCCCTGGATCAGGCCGTGTTCTGGCTGCTCCAGCCTACAGCTTCCTGCGGAAGGAGAGCATCACCTACTAATACCCAACTTTATATAATGCTTTTTTTTAATCGCAAAGGACCAAGAATCGTTTTGCCGGTATCGAGGGAGAAGCCCAGCGTAAGGAGGGACAGACAGACAGGCCGTGGTGGAGTAAAGGCACCTTGCGGCTGTCCCGGCCGATACCCACGTGCTTTCAGGGCTGACTTTTATTTCACATCTGCGACGTGTCGGCGCGCGTGGCCAACCAGCCGTCACGCGCGCTCCCTCCTGATCACGAGCCCTTGCCCCACGTACGAGTAATACCCCAAACTGGGTCTGAGGTTGTCAGGCATATTTTTGGCCGAGAGCAGGATGCAGTTTGGTTTTGACACGTATGAGATGCGGGTGGTGGTTTACCAGGCAGGAGCACCGACCTCGGGCCCCTGCCTGGGGCAGCAGAAGGTGGTCGGGGCCCACGGGTGGGTGGTCACGCATCGGGGGGAGGCTGCGAGGGGTCGCGGGTGGAAGGCAGGAGGTGACGTGCCCAGCGTGGCGGTGCTGCCGGGGTTCCCCACGAGGGGTGAGCTGCCGGTGCAGAAAGCAGACCTTGTTGCAAGAGTGCTCCTTGCGATGGGTATGAAGCTGAGGCACAATCCATGCGGTGCCAAAACACAGAGGTGCTTCTGCTCTTTCACGGTGCCAAGCTGTGGTTTAATTTCATTAGCTTCTACGTTTAGGGTGTGATTTTTTTATTGAACGAGGAGGAGAGAAGGGCTCTGCAGAGCTCATGCACGAGCAGTCCCCTGCAGAGCTTCTCCACCGCCATGCCCCTGCAGGAGCGCTTTGCTCTCCAGGATGGCTCCAGGGGCCACCAGTTGGTGGGGTGGCTTGTCCCTGGGTGCCGCTCCCC